GCTTCTGATTTTCTTCTTAGTACATCTTTATGCTTTTTAATAATTTCTGTTATCAAATGCTTTCCCTTTATTAGCAGAAAAATATCAATCTTACAGAATGATCCCAAGTAATTTAAATTAAAAAGTAAATAAACAACACTTGAGTGTTAACTGACATCGTGCTGTCTCATTAATCCAGGATGGAGACGTAAACACATCTGTAAATAAAGTGTCGAGCTGGCATCCTCCCTTCTAGGTTCTGTCTACTCAGGGAAGACTGTCACGGTTTTTCTTACCACCTTCCTACTTTTTAATGGAATAAAGCAAACAAGTCTTGGACCTGGTTAATGACTGCCTGGGCCGGGCCCCAGGTCTCTTGTCTTGGGATCCAGCGCTATTTCCACCACACTGTCCTCTGCCCAGCACACAAGCAACACCGTTAGGATGAAACTGTCATCAGCAGTCATGCAATACTTTTTGAGCACATCAAAAATAGCTTGGCAGCTCTGAAGATCATTATTTAAAGACTTAAAACCAAAGTACACATTGAGTTCAATATGTAAAGAAACACAGAAGAGGTTTTAAAATATTTTCATTCTCTTCCTTGCCTTTCAAATGTATAAAATAGAATTTAAAGCGTGCATACACTAAAGCTGCCTCTACATGGGCAGAGTGAAACTGTTGGTAGGGAGAAGTTGGCCGTGAACCTGTTTTGTCCCCCCTTACTTTCATGTTTGCCCTTTCCTCATTCTCCAGGAAACACTATTCTGCTTTCTATTTTCTGGATGTTTGATGCAAAAGAGACATTATGACTTCAGTGACTGAATAACAGTTACAAATTTCCATTTCACTTTGCTTAGCAGCTCAGATGTGGTTTAATGAAGCATGAATAGAATTCTCCCAGAGGTGGATCTGAGCTGAACTGATGAGGCTTCTGACTGCCAACTCTTCTACACATTAAAATAGCAGCATTACCTCTTACATTTATTTGTTATCTGTTACTAAGAGAAAATTACCAACCCACAGAAATACAGCTGATCATGAGACTTCTCCAAAGGGCAGAAAACCTGTTGGTTTACATTAAAATGCTCACACACTCTCAAAACAAGGTAAATGTTCCCAAACAACCAAAACAAGAGACTTCACCAAAGACACATTTTTATTTAAGAAAAAAAAAAGAGGGCCTGGCCTACATACTCTTCAAGTGGTCAGTTCTAATCAAGAAAGTATGTTTTATTCCCATTAAGCTTGTAGGTAGATATCTTTAAAACATCATATCTCTTCAGTAAATACTTCTTCAGTGTTCATGGGTGTAGAACACTGCAGAGGATCTAACTGACCTGCAGGAGATCCAGTAACCCCTGAGATCAACCCTGCCGACAAGAGACCTGAGGTCCAAATAATGCTGGCCCTGGAGCAGGCACATTAGGAGCAGGAGTAGTGCTTCTCTGCCTTCATGAAATATTACTCTCTTTTCTCAAAATTCCTCATAAACCTTGGACCTGAAGTTAATTTTCATGATTAATTTACAAGAAAGGGAGAAAATAGATAAACGAATGTGAGACTGTAAGTTTGGTTCTGGCCTTTAATAGTCAGATTAAGGTCTTGAACAAAGTAGACAGTAATTTATTGTGAGTAATAAAATAATATTGATCTTGCCATGGAATAGGAAACGAGGATTCAGGGCCATCCATATGTACTAATTTGGACATGACAAACTTAAAACCTATTTATAATTTTTAAAGCATGTTATGGTTCTTTCTTTGCAAAGAAGCACACATCATATTGCACAAGGTCTGTAAATACACAAGTGCTCTTGTCTGCCAAAAGCAGCTGAGAAAGCAAAAGGATTACCCCACTATTGTTTTTCCAACCTGAATTTGCAATGGGTAATTGTACAGAAATATTTGGTACTTAATAGCCTTGAAACTTTGAATTCAAAAAGATTTTTATGGCTCTAAGGCTACATGGCCTGATGGCTCAGGTTCATAAATCCACCAAGAATGTGTCTGGCTATTGTAACTGTACCCACCTTTGTGCTGATATAAAACAAAACCCAGTGTCAATAATGTCTTGTCCTAACACAGTGCCTGCCTGTTGGGGGCGCTGGACAGTTCGTCAAGCTGAACTGGGCATGAATTATGCCTTCTACTTAAAATGGTTTGGGAAATAAGGAATTTCCATTCCTCTTAACCTTTGTTTGAGAGAACCACAAAACATCAGATCATCAGTGATGCTTTAATTATATCTGGAATTCAAAATCAGGAATATTCAGGCATTTCCTACCAAATGAACGAAGTTTCAAACAAAGCTATTTATTAACTATTGACTTTTACTAAAAGCACACCAGTCAGAGTGGCTCCATTATTTTCTCTGGGACTATGGCAGCGAAACATTTAATTTCCAGAAGCGGACTTTTACAACACAGGTATTCCAACCTGGGATCAAAATTTCCTTGTAGATCTCACCACCCTCACCACCCTTGTAGATCTGTACCTAGTGAATATCCAAAGAGCTGGCTGCACTCCCAGACACTCTCCCTCCTTGATGTTATCACAGTCCCCTCCCCCTCCTGGTGGGCTCCCCATCAAGGTAAGAAGAGAGGTGAAACTGCCAAAGCTACTCTTCTCTTTAAGGCTTCTGTGTAAGCAACTTTCCCTCACAAAAGGGTTTTTGCCTGAGCCTCATCCAAATACAGCAATTCTTAAGTGACATTGTAAGATGGCTGTTGAATATTTAAAAACATGTCTCCTCTGTTTCATGGCCTGCTTTGGTTTTCTAATTTTTAAAAATTATCCTTCATCATAGTAGTACACACAGTCTCTTTCATACCAGTACTTGAACAACAAAGAGAGGGTGTTTACAACTTCACTTGCTGGTTCTCATATGCCTGCAAAATGCTTTATTTTTCTTCAATTGGGTTTTAAAAACATTTTTCTAAAAATCTTTAGATTTCTTATTTGTCTATATATCCTACTGGGAGTTCAAATGTAAAGAAATGGTGACCTCAAAAGGCCAACTTTATGCCAAAGTCAGCATGATGAAAAGCAGAATTTAACATTTTATACAAGATTAGTTGCATTCCCATTAGTTTTTGCAAGTGCAATACATCTCATCCTTTTGGGCTGTCTGCAAAGGTTCCCTGGGAAGAGAAACAGAAGTAGTATGTGCCTCTCTAATAGCTTAACATACTAAACAACGTTAAGGGGATAAATGGTATGGCCCAGGGGCAATTAATGTATGGACTTCAGTGGACACTCCTGGTGGAAATGACTTATAAGCAAATTGTGTGCCATCAGTGGTGGGTGAAACATTCAGCTCTCATTAAATATCTTCATCCAAACCTCAAATGACAATGATTTCAGCCTAATTGAATGTATTCTTAATAAAAAGAAGTTGCAAAAACCTGATATAAAAAAATAAATATACATGGGGTGCACTAAACCCCATGAGTGTATTTTCAACAAATTAAAGGTCTGCTGGTATAAACCAGTGGTTATGCAACAAGTCTATTTCAAAAGACTGCACCTTTTTACAGTTACATCCTGATAAAACAGTTGAGCTCAAGTCACTAAACATTCTCGCAGTTCAAGTAGAAGGAAATACATTCTTTGCTTAGGAAGAAAAAAAGATGATTTATAATGAGAAATGTGTACCAATCTTCCCCAATAGTTAGGGAGGAATAAGTTAGGGAGGAAACACAAATTTGGTTTCTGTGGGGGCTAAAGTACTAATTTATGATCCTCTGAAACAGAAGGCAGTGCCTGATAAATTTAGGTGTCTACAGTTACTTAGCTTGGCTGGGACTTGAGCAATTAAAGCTAATGGTTCTCCCCAGCACACCCAAGCTTAGACCTTTTTTTCCCTTCTGGGTCTGCCTAGCCAGTCGTCCCCAGCACTGGCTCTTTGGGGTCAGTGAAGGTTGGGGGCCCTCCTTCTCACTCTCCGGACCACAGGTAACCCAACTCGGGTATCCTTGCCCGAGCTTCGCGGCCTTCCGCGCCAGGGTGCGCATTGGCCTCTCCGCGAACCTCCCCAGGCCTCGGGGCTCCCAGCTCAGAAGTCCAGGTCGCCGGCTCTGTCACTACGGCCAAGCGCAAAGAGCTCGCATTTTCATTTTGAAAAGCTACGCAGCTCCCTCCTCTGGAGCAGACCCCGTACCCTCCGTCCCGGCTGGGGCCGCGCGGGGGTCCTGGGACTTTGATGGGTTGGAGCAGGCGACACAGAGCAAGGCCGCCGCCAGCCGTCCCCAGCCCTACCCTAGCCTTGACTCCAGAGCCCTAGCCAGGCTGCCCAGCGCGTCGCTGCGCCGGGAGAGAAGCAGCTGTTCTCAACAGCTGGGGGGCGGCGGCGCCAGGCGCCCCAGGTGCGGCCGTGGCCAATCGCAGGCGTCCGGCCCGCCCCCTCCCAGCCGGGCGCCGACCCCCGGCCCGCCGGGGAAGGGAGCAGAGAAGGGGAGAGCCGTCTTTGCCACTTGTCTTCCAGCTTCCGCGGTGGAAGGGACAGAACGGGAACCGGAGCCGAGCGGAGTCCCCCACCCCCAACCCTACCGCCGCGCCCGCCCACCCACCTCCGCGCCCGTCCGTGCACCCCACCGACCCTACCAGCGCCCCACCCGAGACACCTAGTTTCTAAGAAAGAGAAATCTACCTCTAAACGCACCCTGTTCTTCGCTTGAGGACCACCCTTCTTTTCATTTTTTGGCCTCTCTGCCGGGTGAGTGGAAACCGCTTGCACATTCTATTGAACCGGATCCTAACCCAGACGATCCGGAGAATTTGTACCGTGACCGGCAGGGGGGGCGGGAGGAGAGAGACAAGTCCTGTCTCCGGGGCTGCTGGAGACTTCGGCAGCCGCGCGCCCGGTGCCCTCGGCCGCCCCGGGCCGCCCGCCCCCGCCGCGCCGCCGCCCTCACCCCCGGACTCGCTCTCGGCCCACGGCGGCCGCGAAAGGGTGCGGGAGACGCGGAGCCGGAGGAGGAGGCGCAGCCGGAGCCGGAGCCGGAGCCCGAGCCGCGGGGCGGGCGCGAAGATGCACACCACTCAGAAGGACACGACGTACACCAAGATCTTCGTCGGGGGGCTGCCCTACCACACCACCGACGCCAGCCTGCGCAAATACTTCGAGGTTTTCGGCGAGATCGAAGAAGCGGTCGTCATCACCGACCGGCAGACGGGCAAGTCCCGGGGCTACGGATTTGTAAGTTGCGCGGCTGAGAAGGGGTGGCGGTGGCAGAATGGGGTGTGGGGGTCGACTAAGAGCCTGGCTGCGAAACCGATGACCGCGGGGTACGGAGCCACTGAGTAGGTTAGTCCGGGAGATCGTTGTTTGGGGCTCGGCGAGACCGGGCGAGGAACCCTTGGAGCGTGAGCAACGCTCCCCCTAAGCTCCGGGCTGAAAGGAAAGCTGGTGCGCGGCGGAGCTGGGGAGGGAGGGCCCGCTCTGCCACAGGGGGTTCCGAGGAGACCGAGCGCGTTGCGGTGTCAGGGGACTGGCGGAGCAGGAGTGGAAAGGGAGAGCTGTAAGGATTACTAGATTGGGGCATGCGGAGGGTTTAGAGGGAGGGGGCGCAACCTCACAGTATTGCACTCCGGGTTGGAGACCGGTAGTTAAGCGCGCTGTTGCTTTGTAAAATTGCGTGTGTCTTCTGGCTGTCGGCTGGGGCCTGGAGGGGACAGCCCGGGAGGTGTGGGGCTCTTCTCTCAAGCCAGGTTGCTCCTCCCCTTTCCTTTTAACTGCAAATGGGTTTTTAAAAAAGATGATCCTACGGCCCTTTGCAGACCTGAAAGAGAACATATTAAGCTTCCTGGAGATTTAAGCGTGTGAATTCAGCTGCTCAAGAGCAGGGAGCCCCAGAGTAGGACAATAGCTATTGTCGTTGGGGAGCGTTTGCGGGTGGTTGGGAGCACCGGCGGATGTAAAGCTGGACTTTTTTTTTTTTTTTTTTTTTTTAACCAAACAGCGCCTCTTAGGCCGGGTAGAGACCTAGGGGCCCGGGCCCAGGCCCAGGGCGAGAGGGAGACGGATGAGGAGGACCTACAGGAGTTCTAAGACAGAATTCAGGCTTCCAAATTTTTCCCAGGCCCTACTAGCACCCTTAAGAATTTGGAGTGTGTGTGTGCCCGGAGGGTGGGAGGATGTGGTTTTCCTTCTTCTTTTCTGTTTTCTTGTTTTCTTTTTTCCCCTTTTTTTGTTGGACGGGGGATCAAGGAGTTAAGCTCCAGGAAGAAAAATTAAAAAAGAAAGAAAAAATTTAAGAGCCCCCCCCCCCTTAGTTTTATCATGAATAATTTTTCCAGTGCCATTCTGGTTTTCTTCAAGGGTTGATTTAGAGCTTTGTATGTATGTCTGTGTGTGTATGTTGCTAAGGTCACCATGGCTGACCGGGCTGCTGCGGAAAGAGCCTGCAAGGATCCCAACCCCATCATTGACGGCAGGAAAGCCAACGTGAATCTGGCATACTTGGGAGCAAAACCAAGGATAATGCAACCAGGTGAGAAACAGGGGTCCCTTGGTTACTGCCCTACCCCACTAGAGACACCCACTACTGCATAGAATGAATCCCTGATTTAAAATACACAGGTTCTACGAGAACCTGTAGATGTGTTTAGTAAAGTTAAACCATGGCTGGTTATTCTACCTAGTCATTAAAGATAAATAAATGAGAGTTGTAAACACTCCTTTGAGGACTTGAAATGTTCCTGCATAGAAAAATAGATCTTGTAGGTCTGGAGAGTTTGTACACACCCAGACTTGGGCTTGACTCACCTGTTTTCTTTATGACATAGTCAGAGTCCACTCTCTATTTTCCAGTTTTCAGCCACTTGTAGAAACTCGGATGTGGATTATTATATGGGCCACATTTGTCAACTTCAGCTGGTTACACTTCCCAACATAGTGTTGTCTGTCCTTTCACCACCAGCTGCCCTGGGCTCAAAGCAAGCCTGCAGACTTGAACACTGACCCCAGAAAAGCGTAGGGTACAGGCGGAGGCACCTAGATGATACATGTTTAACGTAAACTCACGGAATATTAGTAGTGAAAGAAAATAGAGTGATTTCACATACTCCAGACTCTCATGTTACAGATGAAGAAACTGATCTTTAGAGATGAGAAGTGGTTTACTCCAAAGTCACACAGTTATTAATCACCAAGAGGGAGCACAGTTTTGTCTGTGTGAAAACATGACCTTTTGCATTATTTACAACACTGCCCTTTGCATTGGCACAAATAGTTGAGAGTTAACTATTGAACAAATGTAATCTTTTCTTTGGTAAGCAACTTTGATTAAATAATGTATTCTTCATTCTGGAGTCTTTCCATCTGAAACTTTGGAAAGAGTTGATACCTTCATCCAAATGAATTTACTGGAAAACTAGGTTGTCAAGAAAGTGGGTGTATGTGCAAATATCCATGAACATTTTTTTAAATGTGTGTATATACTATTCAGAAAAGGAGAGTTTGATTTTGTGAATTTTTATACTGTAATCTGTAAAATCCATAATCTTCCAAAGCATTGTTCAAAGTGTTCCAGAATATTCCAAATTACAAAGACTTTTTATAGATCATGATTCAGAATTGTAGGAATACTTGTGACATGGAACTTCATTATCAAGTCCTTTTGTTCTTGGTTTTAGTCCATGAGAATTTTTCCCTGGACCAATTTTCTAAGGTCTAATTCCATATCTGTCAACTAAACTTTGCAGATAATTTTTAGTTTCCACCTTTAGCCTATTAAAGCTTTTATTTAGATCAACAAGTTAACATTAATCAAGCTGACTTTTACAATAAATATATTTTCTCTAAAGTATCAAGAGGATGCTTCTCTTTTCTAAGCAAAAGTTGTGATTACTCTTTACATTTTGGAGTTACAATTGTCTAATCATGCACAAATAGAGAATGTGGTATGCTTTGTTGTTAGGTTTTGCCTTTGGTGTTCAACAACTTCATCCAGCCCTTATACAAAGACCTTTTGGGTAAGTCAGTTAACCACACCCTCCTAACTTTCAATATGGCCTTCATTTGTTAACCTGCTTCTTATGTACAGACAAGACCATCATGTCACAGAATGTTCCTGGTTATACATACTCATATATGTTTGTGTATTTTTAATGCTGATAATATAAATATTTTTAGATGAGTCAAGGTATCTGATCAAGTATGCAGCCTTCAAGCCAGACAGATTTTGAGATTATGATTAACAAAACAAAACAAAAATACCAGGTATGACTTGTGTACAAGACAATTGTGTCCCAACACCATTACTACTGTTCAACTTGACTCAATTTTATTTATCTCTTTCTAACCTGACAGGGCTCGTATACAGTTAAGCTAACTGATCAGAAGGATACGATGATAAGAGGTGGAATAGTTCTGTTTGGAATTAAACTGTAACCAGTAGACTCAGACACACAAGCTCAGATGGTGATTAACGATGCATGGATGTTGGTGTTGTTTTATTTTTCACAATAGTCAATAGACCTCCGTGTGCTTTATTTTATTTATTACAGTAATGAAGTGGTGTTGATAGCTAAACTGTGTGCTTTTTACTTAATTGAAAAGAGCTGTAGTGAAAGTGTTTTCTTTTCCTCGGGGGAAGGGGCTCTTTGTGTTTTGGTTTTGGTGGTGGTGTTGAGGAGTGTTGACTTTTGACTTTGCCATGGGAAGCAAAGGGCCTCTTTTTTTTTCCTTGCTTTTAAGCTGTAGCCTGTGACTTCCATTTAACCATACTTTTGTAGTGAGTGCTAAATTGTGTGATTTCCCTCTGTAAGAATACAGATACATTGCTTGCATGTCCTAAGTTTCTGTTTTACTGGGGAGTTTTCTGGGAATGGGGTTCTTTCTTTTGCAATGTGTATCCACTTTTAGATTTTCTAATTTAAAGGTTCAACAACTCTCATCGGATTTTGTTAACACTAGCCAAGTTGTTCAGTAGAGGAGCACTAACTTTCATCTTTTAGACCTAACTCAGGTGAACAGCCTGCTCCTGTTTGTGTTGTCTCTGGGTTCTGTGATCACCAGTTTTCCTCATCTGAGCCCCCTATTTTCTTTCCATTCAGACATGATATGGGTGGGCGATCCCCTAACACCTACATTTATTCTGAATACTGAGAGTCTGTTTTGGCTGAATTCTATATATCAGCATTGCTGTAACTCTAATGCCAGAGATTGAAACTTCCTTTTCAAATATTTCAGCTCTTCAAGAAGTGTTTTATCCTCACCAATAGTTTCTTCTTTAGCTTAACACCTAAACATCTCCATGTGAGTGTAGCTGGATTCTATCTATATCGATACCTACCTTATGTGTCTTAAAAATAGAATCCCCCCCTCAGAAAAAGTAATACTATGTTCACTTGGAAGACTTAAGTTATATATTCCAGGAATACCTTCTTTAATCTTCCCTTTAACATATCAGTACTTCACTCCTTCTGCCAACTTTTGCTTTTTTTTTTTAAATCATGGAATGTTTTGTCCAATATCATTAAAAGGGCTTTCACATCCATAGCTATTTATCAATGCCCCATCCAAACTATCCTGGATGCCGACAACAATTAGTGGTTTTATCCGTCCAACTACTTCAGTGGGCCCCACCCCTCTCATTGGTCTTGACTTTGTTGAAGGAGGGATTGGGAAGGAAAACCTACATCTTCGGAAGTGATGGTGAACTTGGTCATGATCTCACACTAATCTTGAAATAGTGATACAACCAAATCGATCAACAGGTATTAGCGTGTTTATTGTTCTCTGTGTTAAGGGTGATACAAAATAAGGACATTGCACTTTAGTTTCAGAACTAAAACAAAGCCATTGGGAACTTGGTTGCTAAATCGCTTGATATAATTTTCAGTACAAAAGGAATTCACGACAGCAAAAAAAGAGGTGAGTTGGAGAAGGTGAATGAGGCTTGTGGGGACTTGAACTAGACTTGAACCAACAGCTGTATCCTAGGCAGATAAAAGGAAGAATGGACATGTGTCAAGGGTGTAGGATGAGGTGAGCATAAGCAAAGGCACAAAGGAGAAAAGACTCAGTGTGCAAAGAATGTTTATGGAGGGTCTTGCAAGCTAGACATAAAAATATGGACTAGTTGTCAGAGTCCTTATAGGTCTTTGAGAAAGAAAGCAGCACGAGGAAAATAAGAACAACCAAAGTAAATTGTGTCATATGGAATTTTTAAATCAAGCATGTTTGGATAGTAACCTTTTGTTTTTCATCTCTTTTAAATTAGCTGTCTTTATAAAGGATGGTGATTATTACTGCTTGCATAAATTGTTTGAACTTGAGATTCTTATTAAAAATAGATAGCATTCCAAATGAACCAAACAAGCTTTCTCTTTCTTTTTTAAGGGGTTCTCAACACTGCTCTGGTTCCCAGAGTCTGTACCTAACAAATCACACCTGGTCATCCTAAATTCTATTTGAATGCTATGTGTGCTTATTTTAGGCCTGGAAAAAAAGCCTGAGAATTTTTTGTTTTATTTGACTTGTTTTAAATTCTGGTAATGGAACTATTTTTTTAAAACGTGGTCCTTAAATGGCCCCCAAGTTGCTTTAAAGAGAAAACCTTGGCCTAGAGGAATTTATGATGTAACAGTGGGTAGATGTGTACAAACTTGTGATTGTGCCGAACAATATGTCGTAAGTGTTTTATGTCTGAAAGAAGCATTTTATTAAAATCTTGGAGAAGAGAGAATGCAGATCTGTGAGTAAAAGTTTCTAGGCTAGTTTAGGTCAAGTTGAAATACACTTAAACACTTAATCAGTATACCTTTAAGCGCTAAATTTTAGGCTCGTTGTGTTAACACTGTACTAGGTAGTATACTGTCTGCTATAAAGGACAGGAGGGACAATAACTAGCATTAACTGAACATCTGCTACAGGTCTAGTACTGATAAGAGATTTAAATAAATTATATAATTTAATTCTCACAATAATTATTTGATGAAGACACTGTTAATGTCCTTTCCATTGAGTGAAGAAACTGAGATGAAGAGAGGTGAATGAACTTACCACAGGGCTACTAAGTGGTAGAGTCTCATTCTAAGTTCATCATCATGTTCTGCCCAACCTCAGAAGTCATGTTCTTGCCTCTGTGTCGAGCTGTAGCTAATAAGACACAACTCCACTCTTGTGATTCCGTAAGAAAACTGAAAAGCACCCAGAATGGCTGTTCCTGAATCTTCAGATAAGGGGGAGAGATATCAGTTTGGTGGGATCCAGAATGGAGGTAGACGTTGACCTAGATTTTAAAGTATGGTAGATGATAAGGAACTCTTGTATTGAGTGCTTACCTATGTTTGTCATTGTAGGCTCTTTGCATACTTTTATTTAATGCACAACAATTCAGGGTTAGAAATAATAGGTTTATTTCACATATGGTGAATGTATGGGGGCAAAAAGTTGAAGCAAATTCCTAAAGGCTCCATACGGAGTGAGTGCGGGACCTAGGGTGAGTGGGATTTGGATTTCAACTGGTGCACATGGAATGAGGACTGGCTTCGCCGACAAAAGGACAGCACAAGTGAAGATGAGTGCATTGGAATGTGTGGGATAGCCCAGAAATACTGAGGATCCCAGCTGATCTGGGTTCAAGGAAAGATGGGGAGTAATATTGGAGCAAGTATTTTGGAGCCAGAATCATTAAAGATCTAGCATACTAAAGTTTAGGAAATTTGTACTTAGTTTGGAAAGATGTCAGGGGCCATAAATTACTTGGGCAAGCAAACGAGATGAAGCATGGTAGTTTTGTGATAGATTGGAAGAGGAAACCAGTTAGGATGCCAGAAATCATGGAGAGATGACAGAGGGACCTGAAGAGATAGGAAGAATAGGAAAACATAGTAAATTTGCTTTGGAAATTGCCCAGAGTGTCTGCCATATTCTTGTGCTTCTATAACTGCTAGGTGTATGCATTCTGTGATTACTTTGAGGGAAAAATACTGAAGATATTAGTAGGAGGGAGAGTCTCAAACTGCCTTAATGGGTTTCTTAGAGTATTGAAAGAACTCCTAATACAGGAATTCCTGCAGAAGTGCAACCTTATGTTTTAGTCCAGTTCTGCCCTCCTCCCTTTACTGAGATATTGTAGGCTCTCCATTGTCTTCTGGGTTCTCCTTTCTCTAAGCCTTGAAGGACTCCAGGGTCTTATTTGTCTTCCACATGTCTTCCTAACCCTCACTAAACTTCATGTAGGATTTCAACATTCCCAGGGACTTTATACTCTCATAAGTTGACATTATCTGATGAAAACTATTTATGTAATAAAATAAATGAAGAATCAAGAGTCATGTTAGCAACCCTGCCTATCTTTTACTGCATTCTTCATGTGCCCACACACAAACACAGTTTTAATCAGCCTTGTTGTAGACTGAAGTTATTTTCACTTAACACCTTTCTTTGAAGATAAGAACCTAGCAAACATGGTGTTGTCTTTAAAACTTTGGGAGTACAGGGGTTAATATTTCCATATCAGTGAGCTTCATACTGGCTGGCCTTTGCAGCTGATAGATGTTTTACTTTGGCCTTATAAAGACATTTTACCCGCTGGAAACCCTTGTCGCATGACAGGATCAAAAATAGCCCTGCTGCAGCCCCTGCTGTCCATCACCACATGTAAACTGGCATGAGTGTAGGCTCTCTTAGGCATGTCCGCACATTGTGGACACAGTGGCCTCCAGGGACAGCACTTCATAAAGCCACACCTGTCGCTGTGAGTGAACCAGTCACCTGACCTGCAGAGAAGCTTTGAGTGTGTGCGTGACCATGCATCTGGTTTCTAACAAGCAATTAAGAACATTGCTGAGTGTCCTGAGAAACCCTCGATGACGTGGTTTCTCCTGGCACTGGGAAAGATCTGCAAGTCTAGTAAAATTGGATGTATTTTTATCATTGGGGTCAAAGTTCATTACCCTCTGTGATAAATACATCTTTTTCATGGATGTTCATTAATGAGTATTTTCAGTAAAACTCTGAAAAGGCAAAGCAAAATCTGGTTTTGGATATCTAGATGTGAATTTTTCTGTTTTCAGTGTTTTAAAACTTGAAGGTTGTTGTTTGTACTTCTTGTAAGTTGGCTTTGCCAACACCCAGATGGCATTATACAGTAGTGTCATATTTTTAAAAATATAAGGGGTTTTTGGAGATTATTTTAAAGAAAGATGAAATAAACCAGATGTTCATGGTAGTGTTTTAAGTGGACAATAATGAATCCCAAGAGTGAGAACTGAGATGCATGGGTTTTTAAAAATACCTCTTGTGATTTAATTTTTAACAAATTTAATGTGTAAGTTCAGTCATTGGAGTGTGTCTTGTATGTGATCTCTGAATGTATAATTTTAAAAGGTACTTGTTTGTGTTTCACTTTCTTGAACTTTTGCAGGATAATATATAACAATAGACGATCCATATAAAATATCTATTTGTAGGCAGATTTAAAGCAGATATGCTAATTTATTTCTGTTGATTCGGATAATAAAACAAGAGTTAGTAGATGCGCAAAAAATGTGTCCTTATTCTATTATGTAAACCTTTTGAGTTTTATTAATTTTAGAAATATTTAGTTGTATTTCCCTGTCCCTACCTTTTCCCTCAACCTCATCATTTCCCCAAAACCCCTTCTGTCTGTCTTGCATAGAGATAAACAAGCTGGCTGACCTTCAGTTGCCTGATAGTCAAACAGGTTTGATTGACCCTTGTGTCCTTATGAATTTTATGGAGAAAAATAAAGAAAGAAAGGCAAAAAGCGTGCTGCACCTCTCTTTGGGAGTCACTGCCATGAGTGTTGATAGCATTTCTGTAGCTTCCCACAACAGCCTCTTGTGATAGAGTGAGCTGCACTACAGTTCGTTTGAGAAGTGTGATTCTGCTGTGTTTACCACACTTGTGAACTTTTATTTAAACTCCTTTTTTATTTTGTCGCCTGCTTCTTTTTTATTATTATTTTTTAATAAGGGTGACTGAGGTTGCAGAGGGATTAATGTGTGCTGAGTCTGCATAGCAACTTCAAGTAGGGTTGCCATGATAACAAACGTATGGATTTTGTTGAACTTTTAGCTTTGACAAACCAGCCATCACCCCTTGGAACTGAATGATCATGGATTACTTTTTGAGTCCTCTATTCACAGCTGAGAATCTTTTCTATCTGCTAAACAGTTTTGTTTTATGAACTCATCACAAGTTCTAAAGGCTTCATCAATTAAGCATTTATTAGATACCTCGTATGTTCATAGCCCTCATGAACCTTGATTTATTCTCCAAAGTTTTGCTAAATGATAATTACTGGTTCAAAATGATCATTCACAAAAATTCTAGCAGAGAGGATATCACATTTTTGTTGTTGAATTCCTCTGGGGGCATTCTGTCACTTTGGCTACTGCCAGAGTCCTATCACGTACCCCTGGAAAGCAGATATTGTGGCAACCCTATGCTCATAATAACCACTAAATTTGAGTTTGTCATATCTCTGAGCAAGCAGTGCTACAGCTAGGAAGCAACTGCTGCCTGACTTTGTTTTTCGTTTCTCAACAGGATACCTGCCCACTATGTCTACCCTCAGGCCTTCGTGCAGCCTGGAGTGGTCATTCCGCACGTGCAGCCGACCGCAGCGGCGGCCTCCACCGCACCTTACATTGATTACACTGGAGCCGCGTACGCGCAGTACTCCGCCGCCGCAGCCGCTGCCGCCGCAGCAGCCGCCTACGACCAGTACCCCTACGCAGCCTCGCCAGCTGCGGCGGGCTACGTCACCGCGGGCGGCTACGGCTATGCGGTGCAGCAGCCGCTGGCCGCCGCACCTGGGACAGCTGCAGCCGCCGCTGCTGCAGCCGCCGCTGCCGCCGCGTTTGGCCAGTACCAGCCTCAGCAACTGCAAACAGACCGAATGCAGTAGACCAGCCATCTGATCGACGTTGAATTGTTTTCTCTTTCCCTCCCGATTTCCCGATTTTTAGTAGCTAATCAGAGTTAACATTGACTTAAACAGCTTTAAAAAAAAATGCTATGCTGTTGTGAAGCAGAATTATTATTATTTTTATACTCCAATAGTGTTCTAGGTGAGAACCAGGTAAACGAGAGGGAAGTGGGCGCAGTTTTGGAAACTAATCCCAAAGAGCCTGAGTAAATGAAAGGCCGCTAGGAAATGATGGCAGGAGTAACTATGGAACTTCACTTTTATAATGGGGTTTTTATTTTTGCTCTTTTTATAGTATCAGGGAAGCAAACTGCCTTTACAAGTTAGAAAACGTTATTTGAATCTAGTTGAACCAGGGAATACAGAGTGAGCAATATGTAGCTTGAATTACATTTAAAAGCAGATTTAAAAAAAAAATGGTGAAAGCACTGATTGTCATTTTTAAGTTGCTATGGCCTATAGAACTTTTTCAAGTAAGAAGGTGATGTTCTTACTCTCTCAAAAATGGGCATCGAACAATCAATCTAGGAACGTGGCAGTGGGTGAAATGGTGGACAGGCACCAAAGCTATTTTCTCATCTTACCCTGTGGATGAGCTGGACTGTGGAACAAGTGATGTGGAATTGAAGGGTGCAACAGCTGTACAGACAATCAGTAACACACACAGTTCTGGAAAGAACACATCACTTGTGCTTGTTTGATGAGCTTGTCACATTCTAATCCCTCTCCCCATCCTGTTTCAATTTTGGGAAACTTGTATCTGCTGGTGTCAGCAATTCTGATTCTGAAATAGGATCAGGCTTTTACTACAACAGCCTTCTCTTTCTATTTATTGTGTCGACTTGTGGCTTATGATTAAAGGCAGGCAAAGTTTGCAGACTCTAAACCCTTAAGAATTGTCTTAAGGACATTTATTTTTTCCCTTTTTGAATAATTTTACACTTTTTAGTATCTATTTCAGAGTCCTATTTAAAACTATTTATTAGTGAATACAGTACATGAGACAACAGAGTTACTGAGATTACAGTTCTTCAGAGGTAATGATAATGTGGTTTATACTGTGCCTTAATAGTATGCTATTTAAGATATTTATTTTTAAGTTTTACTATGCTGCACTCTAAAGAAAGGAACTTTAGATGTGACACTGTAAAATTATGTATTCATCTCATGGCATAAATTATTTAGTAGGTCTAGATGTAGCATATTAAATATTAACCTTTTAAGCTGAAGATGTTGAGTTGGATTTATTTAAATTCATATGTGCACTGTATAAGAGAGTACTCTTACATTAACACATTTTAGTTTATTTTAGTTTTTAGGTTTTTAAAAACAGGATATAGTGCTAGTTTCATGCTTCTCTAATTTTTGCTTGTGTAGATCTCATTTATTGGTACTTCATTAGTATAACACTATTCTTATGTAGTTTTTAAATGCTGCTTTACATTTTTCTTCTGAAACTGCAATACTTGTAATTTTTATTCTTAAACTAAATTGAATACTATTTTACACTGTATTGGATTTTTATACTTGAACAATTTCATACAAGGGAAGACAGGTTAGCATTTTTATGGACTTTCTCCATTATCACTGGATTTACTTTAAGTATTCCCATCCTAGACAGTGTTATGTAATGTAGACATGACTCTCCTGTGCAGATTATTTATTCATTATGTACATTGCTTTATAACATTTCAGATCTTCTAATCTATTCACTTGTATTAAATATAATTTTTAAAAACTCCTGTTGCATTGTTTCTAATTTTGTCATAAAGGTAGAGTGATTTCTCTTTTTAACTAAAATTAATGGTCATGATTTACCTGTAACAATTTCAGTGAACAGAAAACTTCCTGGACATGCTGTTTTTGTACCTTCTAAGTAAATTTCATTAACTCAGTATATAGCTTATATGTAGCAAATGATAAGGGCCCTCCCTGACAGTCCCTAGAAGACTCTTCATGTCACTGCAGACTGGAAGGAGTGGGCTACAGAAGGGGCTGGTCGATCTGCAGGTGGAGTGGCGCGGTGATGCTGGGATCAGGGGAACTGGTTTGGCACCAGACTGTACCATGTTGTAGCAATGTGAATGGAACAAGTTGTTTTCGTAATCCACTTTTGGGGCGAGGATTTTATTGATTTCTAATTTATAATATTGGGACAATAACACCTATCTCACATGGTTCTTTGAATATTAAATAGAGTATATCAACTACTTGGCACAGAGCTAAATATTTAGTAAGTCTTTGATAAATGATCACTGGTAGCAGTTGTTATAATGCCCAATAGTGAAAGCTAGCAAAAAAAGAAGTCACCTAGTAAGATGATGTCATTTTTCAATGTTTTGCCACAATGACCTGGCAGCATCCTAATAAGGTGTGTATGAGAACATCAAATGAGTGTTGTATTGTCTTGAAGTGTATATATTATATTAATTATGGAATGGATTGTTTGTTGGTCTTAATATTGCCCAAATCTGTGACATGATATCTTTAATTAACTCCATTATTTTTTAAAAATTATTAGCAGCAGGAAATTTTGATAACAGATTCTATCACACTTTCTGCTTTATGAGAACTAGTATCCCATTTAGAGCCATCACAGTCTTAAACTTAATTGCCTTTACTTACCAACAAAAAATAGATACCAGCTTATTTCTAGGAGAGATATTATTGTATCCCAAGGTATCATCTTGGATCAGTAAAATGATATCTAAGCTATTTAATTCATTCAATGCATCAATGATTATTTTATTTCAAGGGATATGTTCTACATTTAATTTTTCAGATTTATGCAAGGTCACTTTTGCTCTCAATAAGGCATACATTGATTGCTGAACTTTAAAATGAAGCATTATTTGATTTATCCATTAAAAATAGGTCACACAATTCTGGGAAAAAGCTTGTCAAAAATAGCCGTACTCAGGAAAGCCAGAAGGCTGTACCTTTAAAAAAAAATTCCTGATCTATATAATATCGATATTAGCAGTTGTCGAGAGGGGAACTTTTTTTACTTTATGATACTAACACACATATTTCTGAAAGTAAATAAATAAAAGTTCTTAATATCTAATAAAGAGGGGAGAAGGGCCATGACATAATGCTTACATTGGCCAGGCAGGCTAATTGTACTTGTAGTTAGAAAAGTAATGGGTCTGAGATCCAAGGAGCTGGCTGAGTTCTTTACTTACCAGTGAATGCCTCTACCCTGGTAAAATGTGAGTTGATAGTACCCAACATAGTAACTCTGTTTACCTCTCAGATTGTACTGGTTAAATGAATTAATTTTATTACAGCATTTTAGAAATTCTAAAGTATGAGGCAAATGGAAATCATAGGAAATATATACAATATTAATTTGGAAATTGATCTCAATGATGGTAAGTGGCTTCCAAAAGAGGACAGAATTTTACCTCATAAAGTAATAACTAAACTTGCTGTACAAGGGCAGCACAGAAAACATCATTGGAAGATGGAGAGATTGCTCAGATCAGGAGAGGAAGATTATGGAATGCATTCCTCTCACAAGGGAACTATATTTAGTTCCTTCCTCACTCCTGTCAAATATCGTTCTTCTTAATTCCCTCTGAGGCTTGAAAGCATTCATTAAGAGGCCAGCCTGAGGTTTGGAGGGGCAGAGGTGAAAAGGAACCAAAAAATAAATAAATGCATTTTCATGCTTGCTTTTGTCCTCTCTTTCTTTCAAGATTCCAGGCTGTTTCCATGGAAATTCTAACTTGTTTTGCTTAAGCACTTATTCATTTTGGGTATTTGTTCTCAGTTGAATTTTAAAGGTCCAATAATGATTTATAGCTAGGCCATTTAAATTCCAGGCTTTGAAATCCAAATTATAAGTCAAAATCAGAAATTGGACTATACGTGTATAGGCACTTTAGAAATTTTAGATAAGAAAAAATGGTTTACATTGATAGCTCTGATGTCATAAATTAGTTCTGTCTTAATGGCACAGTATTTGGTGATTCTTCACCAACTTCTTCAGAGAAAATGTCTATAAAGCCCCTCTCTTTCCAGTCAGTTGTCGCCTGGAAGATGAATGCCATTGCTTTTTAAAAATCCGAGATGCTACCACTAAGGCTTGTCATATATTTTAAGTGACTTGGGAGGTGTGCATTGTTTTCCATTTTGCCACTGTTGGAGGAAACTCTGATTACATAATAACAGGGATTGAGTGCCAATCCTTATTTCTTCTCCTTTAATAGTTCCAGATAACGTGCTCATAAAAGGGCAAATATCTGAAACTGCCTTACAAAATGAGTTTTGAATACAAAAACATAGTTTTGCCAAGTAGAAAGCTGTGTTTTAGCTCTGTGTTTAAACTATGAACATCTGACAGTCTCAACCACTTATGAACTTGTTTACCTTTAAGTCCTCTGCCTCTTGGCTCTGCCACGTGTAAGGCAGGTGATGAAAGAGATACAGCCAGTGACTTTGGAGAGTCTCGGGGTATGCATTTCCATTCTACATTCACTTCATACATTTTGAAATTTGAGAAAAGAGGGATGTGAAAGGATGGAGAAGAAAATATGAAGAAAAGAGGCACTAAGGTCAAAATCATCTCCTAAAAGTAAATGAAGGAGGAGGAGGTGACAGAGCAGGAGTCACATGGGCGAGATGACGGGAAGCAAGGGCTTGCCTTGAAGTTGGTCCCAGAGGGGAAACAGGGAGAGGTGGCTAGCTGAGTGGCAGATTTCATCTGGGGAAGGAATGTGGGGGAATCATTTAAAGGACAGTAATCAGACATGAGTTTTTCTTCTGCCTTCTGTTATCAGTAAATAAAAGACATCCAGGAGAACAGCTGAGGTTTTGAACTTGCAAAGGCTTAGACATCTTAGGAAATGGAGTACCTCCTTTGTAACTGAAAAATTTAGAAACAGACCATTGTGGTGCTTGTTAGGCTCAGATGGAGCTTCATCAAGGATCTTGGACCTCTGGGGACAAGGACATCGACTTTTTTTCTTTTCCTATCTTATCTACTGTCACTTCCCATTTTAAGCAGACAAGTGAGTCAGGAGAGAGAAAGGAAAGATTACAGACAGCGTATTTACCTTGCTACCCTGTTTACTTTCCTTCTCCATTTGTTGCCAAAAACACAAGAGTTCTGTGCTGCTTCTTCCTCGACACTGACTACCTCCAGCTGATGGGCCTTGGGAAAAATAATGGAGAGTTTGTGAAGTGGTGCCAGGGAAGAGACCTGCACCATTAACCACATACCATGTACCAAGTGCATGTATTTAATCCTCATAACAGCATAAGGTAGTGTCCCCACTTTTCAGAAATAGAAGAGTGCAAAGGCAGTAAGCAGCCTGCCCAAAGTCACAGGGTCTTCATGGGGAAGAACCAGGATTTCAAGATGGCCTGAAACCAAATCCTGTGTTACACCACCTCACCATGCAGCTCCCTGACTCTCCACTTTCTAGTGAACCCTATAAGCTTTCCCCGGGGTTCCTTGACAAAGCCACTGGTTCCCTGTCCTCAATTTCCTGTTACATCTGAGCAAAGCAACCACTGAAGTAGTGGAGGGAAAATTCCTGCATGTAGGTGTGAATTATTGTGAAGAATGGGGATGGAAGATTCCAGAAGGGTTATGGAAGCCTCCAGTGTTGCCCTGAACAAATTTGATTCATTCCCAATTACGAGTGAATCCACTATTTTGACCTTCAGAATGACATCTAATTGTACTTTTGGTACATGCTTGTCTCTGGGGTACCGTGTTAAAATTTTTTTCTGATGCCAATTTCCCACACTATGCCTACTTCCTTAGTAATATTTTCAAAACATCCCCTATGCTCTGTCATTGACTATGTTCGGCAATGTGCTTAGAATAAAACAATGCCCGATGGAAAGATAATATACTGGGACGGTGTAACAGGGCAAATGTGAAGTTAAAGTGGGTATCTGAGACCCCCTTAGAGCTCAGAGAAGAATCTCAGTATGAGAGCTTGCCCCACAGATCCTGTGTTTGATGCTTTCCTGCAGTCCTTGCTTTCACTATTAAAGAATCATTTTGTGTCACAGATCTTTGTTAGAAAAAGAATATTGGTAATAACATTAAATTGAACACACTTCTCTTCACTTTAAATATCTAGATGTTTGGCTACTATTTACTGGGCATGCATTTATGCCAGGAACTGCACACATTATCTTAAATCCTCACAACCTCACAGTAGGCTTGGCATTATCTTCACGTGACAGAGAGGTTGGTAAGTCTGCCCAAAGTCACAACTGAAGGTGGTAGAACTGTGAGACGAAACCCAGGTCTGGCTGATGCCAAAGACTGACTGCCACTGGGTCACCATACCAACATCTTTCTGTGTCACTAAGAATTGTCTCAGAAACTTTAAGGGAAGCTTAGTAAGTATGCCTTTGGTTCTAAAGACTCTAAGGTCAAGCACAAATCTAAGGACCCTGAGGCAAGTTACATATACATGATTAAGACCCTTAATAAAAACCACATAGCATAAATGTCCCCATGCTCATCTTCTTAATTAATTTCTTCCACCAACATTTGTTTAGTCATAGTACTGAAGATTATAATGATTATTTAATCATCTTGACCTCTAGCTACTTGTGCCTTTATGGAAAAATATTATACTAATAGTGCAATCTGCTATAATAAACTACTATTAAATAAGAGTGTAACTCAGTTTGTGTCAGAGGATGTCAAGTAGTTATAAGGTTTTAATGAACACTGCCAATTTTAATAATAATGACATTGAATTTAAAT